CACTGGGACCGAATCGTAATTTTAACATTAACTATTGCGTAGAATCGCGTGTTTGACGTCAGAATGTAAACGCCACACAGGTAGAGATATAAAATAATTTTGTCGTTCAAAGTATGCAAAAATTATAATAGAACAATAACACAATGGCGGGATGTTTAAAGTACAGAGACACGTCATATGTACCAAAGAAACATAAAAAGTCACACGGACAAAGCACACAAGTAAAAATGAAAAATAATACAAACAACACAATGACGGGATGCATAAGTACAGAGCCACGTCAAATGTATATCACCAAAAACAGACCAAACAGTAAAAGTAATATTAATAAAGACAAATAAAAGAACACTTTAACACGTTATAAAGATGATAAACAGCGTCAGTACGCAGAATCTATACTTCAAGACCATCATGTATTAATCATTTGTGAAGTTGATACGGAATATTTATCAACAGGGTCTTGGTACCTTCCAATGAAATTTTTTTAGAAAAAGGACGAGACGTTCTTTGACATACCCCTGGTTCGTCAACTTTCTGCTCAGACACTGGTGACGTTTTAGTCTGAGTAGGAGCTGCAAGCTCTTGCATACCGAATAAGTTGGGAAATATATATCCCATATGCAGGTGAAGTTGGTATATTGCTACTAAGGTGGGAATATTGATAATTTTAAAATTAAAATCGTCTCGTTTGTCATAGATTCTGGTACTGAGATGACTGTGTATGTCAAATTCGACTATTCAAACACTATTTGTTGAATAATAATTAATATTATTAAATTAATAATATTATTTTAGTAATGATAATAATAATAATAATATAAATATTCAATAATAATAATAATAATAATAATAATAATAATAAATAAAAATAAAAATAAAAATGATAATAATAATAATAATAATAATGATAATAATAATAATAATAATAATAATAATAATAATAATAATAATAGTAATAATAATAGTAATGTTAATAATAATAATAATAATAATAATAGTAATAATAATAATAAAAATGATAATAATAAATAAAAATAATAATAATAATAATAATAATAATAATTATAATATTAATGATAATAATAATAGTAATAGTATAGTACTAATAATAATAATAATAATAATAATAATAATAATAATAATAATAATAATAATAATAATAATAATGAGTACATATCGAAGTAATAAGCAACAAAACTATAGAAGGTTAAAGTTAAATAAATCTAACGTTACAATAACACAACGTTACCGCAGACACCAATATTATTGTTACATTCGCAATTAATCAGTTCCTTACCGAACCCTGCATTCCGGCAATAAGTCTCCAATGTAACAATAACTTTTTTTTATTTTTGATACATTTCAATGTAACCGTAGCCAGTGCCTATGATTTAACACCACTCTTGTATGCCACTAAAGAATCCTCTGCCTTTGTAATACCATCTTTTGACATAAGAGTTTCAAATTCATATTTAACGTCTTGAAATGGCACTGAATTATAAAGCGTTCGAGTTATTGCTCTAAATGCCTCAAATGCTGCAGTTGAAAAAGTCAACAGAAGATTCCCATTTTTCAGGGCTACATGACGATGATCATAGTCAGTAGCTTCTAACTTTTGATTCAACGCTTTTGTTTAATTTACATTGTAGTTAACTGTTCTTTGTTCCCCTTTTTTTATCCCCCCCTTTGTACAATTGGACGGCTCCCGGTGTGAACGGCTTTCTATCCGGTCGTGTGACTGTCCGTGTCGAACGAATCATCTTTGTTAACTTACGGATGGCAAGTCAAAGTTAAAAATATTATAAATATAGGTATTTATAATATTGGCATTTATAGACTTTTATTTATTTATTCAAGATTAAGTTACGTCATCTAGACTACAATCGCAGTTAATTCGGTAAAATTGATAAAAAAAACTTTGAACCAGACTTTAAACAAGGCACAATATGAAGGTAAAAGATAAAAGATAAAGTAAAATATAAAGTAAAACTGTTTTTTTTTAAACCTAAATAAAGGGGGCAACCGGAAGTGTTTAAAATTCATAACACTAGTAACTAAAATGTACTGTAAAAGGTAAAAATAATGGTGTAGTGCATATATACATGCAAATCTGCCATTTGCTATCAGGAGATCTATCAGGGTCTGGCTCACAAGTAATATTTACATTGTCCTGGATGATAAAATCAACATGGCCGACCACTGACCAAACGAAACGGAATGAGATCTAAGTGTTTTTTTTTAATAACTTCGCTTGGTTGTGGGTTAAAAAATACAAATCTTTTGTAAAAGGACGTACAGTTACTTATAGTTTCTAACATCTACGTCATTTGGTCTTTGGTTGATTAGTTTTGTTGATATTTGCTATGGAGGAGAGTGAATAAACTTGCAAATAGATACCTCATTATTTACTAAATGGGATTTAGCACAGGATACATTGTGCCATAGTATGGTTATGTCCGTATGTCTGTGTCGTTGTCGTTCCTACCCTCGGTCACGTTACAAGTTTCGGTGGCAGTGGTTGGATATAGAAGAAGATGATATATGAAGATATAGACTGTATCATCGGTTTTGACTTCATGAAACAAAACATGTGTTGCATTGCTGTAGCTAACAATACAATGAATGTTTACACAGAAGATATATACATGTATCGTGCTGTATTAAATACACAGGCTGTGGAATGTTGTTGGGTTGCTGTGTCAGAGATAATAATTATTCCGAGCAGATTATTCCGGAGAAAGTTATTGATATTGGTTATTCTCCAGAATGTAGCATTTTAGTAGCTTCGAAGGAAAATTGTGGAGAAACAGCAGCTTCTGTTAGCTAAAACGGTTGTTAATTCATCATCATATATCGTTCTGATTCGAGAATTGAACGCAACAGATAAGTATGTTAAAGTGTATGAAAAAACTTATGCAGCGACATGTAAAGCAATAACTGTACTAAACGAGTCAGCTTGTTCTGTAGATTCGTCAAAAGAAGATATTCCAGAACATTTATTTAGTTTATAATATACAAACAGTATTAGTAACTTGCTATACCGTATTCAAAACCTTATCATGGAGATTTTGACAGTTGGCTAATTCAAACTGTAATTCAAAAAGACACCAAGTCTCATGCTACCGCAATTGAAGAAAATAACATTAAGTCTGAAATTGAACTAGGTGAAAATAAACAGTGTGATATCTTTCATTTTTAAACGGACAAAACCATATACGGTCTTGGACATCGTGTAAAGCGTCTTCCTAGCAGATTCGTACTGATTGGAACTTTTCTTGAAGTTAATTTGAATAAACATTGAAATGAACATTGGCTCGTTACTTATACATCCCGTCATTGTATTATTGTGCTATGGTAAATTTGGGTATTTTTGTCTTTCGTTTTTGCTTATGTTCTTTGTCTATATGCCTTTTTGTTTTTCTTTGTTGACATATTTGTTTGTTTTTTATTTACACATTGTTGTCAATAATGGAATTTTATGCGACTGTCATACGAGTGAAAGGTTTACCGACTTGCTGTAAACCCAGGTTTAATCCATCATTTTTAACATAAGAAAATGCCTGTACCAAGTCAGGATTATGACAGTTGTTATCCATTCGTTTAATGTGTTTGAGTTGAATGTTCCTCAGAGTATTTTTGTTCTTTTACTTTTTGCATGTTTTAATTATGATTGAATTATTTGATTTATTTTTATTGTTCAAGTGTTTTATTTTTATTTTATTGTGCCAAAGTGTAAATTGTCTTTGATACATTTTTGAAACATTTTGAATTTTTCATGTACTTTTTATAATTATAATGACTTTTTGCTTTGTCTAGAGTGAAAGTACTTCAACTTTCTGATAAAGGTCGATTTGTCATCAGATTGCGTATCTTCTGTGATACTGTAAGAATTGGATTTTCCTTGAAGTCTCGAATCAGGACTTGTCTTTAACGTTTATATGTTTAAACTTTGTAAGCTTGGCTTAGCTTTGTAAATAAGTTTGAAGTTATGTACATTTGTAAATGAACTTGTAAATATATACCGCATTGTTCAGTTAACGGGAATTACCAGAGGATACATTTACGTGCCATTGTATGGTCATGTCCGTCTGTCTGTGTCGTTGTCGTTCCTTCCCTTGATCACGTTACAATATTAATGAAGGAGTTGTACAACTGTTGGATACTTGTTCTATTAACAAATCATCTGTGCATCCCAAGTGATAAATTTCAATTTTTTTGTAACTACAAAATGAAAATTTCAACTTGGAACTGAGAAAATATCATCTGAAAAATGTCAACTTGGACCTGAGAAAATATCATTGAAAAAAAAGTCAACTTTGAACTAAGAAAATATCGTCTGAAAAATTTCCACTTGGAACTGAGAAATGTTAAGTTCAAATTGTTTGAAATGAAATTTATTTAACAACATTATGTCTCTACCATTCTTTTGTTACGTTTGTTTGGCTAGACATTAAACCAGGTTCATCTCACCATTTTTTATCAAAATGTCCTGTACCAAGTCAGGAATATGGCAGTTGTTAGCAAATAGTTCGTTTCTATGTATGTTGGCGTTTGTTTTTGTTGCACTTCAGTGTTCTTGTTGTTCCTCTGTTTTCCTCTTATAGTTGATGTGTTTCCCTCAGTTTTGGTATGTGACCCGGATTTGTTTTCTCTCAATCGATTTATGACTTTTGAACACCGGTATACTACTGTTGCCTTTATTTACGAAGGATTGATATATGTAAATCAAAAACAAAGTATTTCATTAATATGCATACATGTATTTACTTATTTATTTATTTATTTTTTTTTTTTTTTTACATGTTTATATATGCAATGAATTTAGTATACAAATGAGAAATCATTAGCAATTGAAAAAAGGACCGCAGTCCATATACATTATTACAAAAATCAGGTACGTGTGGAAGAGCAAATATTGTCAGTGTTTATTTCCTATTTATCATATACTATTTCCGTGATACATTTCAATCAAAGTAATAAACTTCCTCGTGCAGTTTTCATCAGTTCACATAGTTTGGCAATATGACTAGATATGTTGATCTTTAAATATTGTGTTTTGGTATTTATTCTTCCACAGATTAACGTTACAAGTGAAAGTGGTGGAGTATGCTACAAAAAGAAGTAAGCACATTTTTCATATTAAATCCTGAGAATTAATTGTAAGGGATTTTCAATAGCAAGACACTAATCAAACGTACTTTATAGTACACACCTTTTCACAGGTGTCCCGAACAAAAATGAAACTTGAAACCAAAGATATGAGCATCGAACAAATAAAAGTCTTTCTATAATGTCAAGTCTGTGTTTATCATTTACTAATCTATAATCTATGGTAAACAAGTTTCTACTTTCCTTCATATCATGCACCATAATATATTGTATTACGACAAACAATGGTTCAATAACGATCTTGGAAGAGAAAAACGCGCGAAAACTGAAGGCTTTTAATAAATAAGACAATCTGATAATGTGAAGTAAAAGAGACCGAGAAATAGTGTCAATGATATGGAAAAAAATTGCTAAAGACAGATTTGAAATTAATTTAGACCACATAATTCATAATAATGTATCGAATACAAAAACTCATTGGAAAATAATCAAAAATACTAATTAAGTCACACAATCATTATGGATCAAATAACATCCCCCAACTCCAAATATTATAAATACCGGAAAAATGACGAAATTGCATGTGAAGATGACGAAAAATGTTAGCTATTGAACAAAATTTTGGCGATATCTTTTTGCGCCAAAAATAAATCCATTTGCGCCACAACTTATTTGCACAAATGCTACTTTTGCGCCACTCTAATTTAAAAATTATAGTTACCATTTGCGCCAAAAAAAAACAAGCAACATCTAATTGCTCCAATTTTATGAATTTATTTATTTTTACTTATATTCATCAACTAAATGATTGACGTCCCTCCTCCTTTATCCATGATCAGGACCAGAAATTTACCGCCTGGCAGAGTTAAAGTCATTTTAATACAAAACATTTAATACAAAAAATATGCTGAATCATCTTTGTTTGTTACAACACCAATATCATCAACAGTTTTGTGAAATTCGGATTGATTTTTTGGTTGAGCTGGATGAATTTTCCTTCTTTCTCTGTACAAAGATTTTGAAGAGCTCTCAATTGATAATGATAGAAGGTCGCTCAGATACCATATCAGTCGCTTTTTCGATTGCATGCTGTTCCCAAAATTTGTCGTTCTAGTTTCTGAGTATTGGTTTGATGTAAATAATCTAAAAACCTAGCACAACTCGACTATCTGTGCACCTCCATCTAATTTCTCTAACAAATGCCTGACGAAATGTGTGTACTTCGACAACGATGACAGGTTTTCCTTTATCAGACTCTATTTTCTCGAACGATATATTATCAGACATCTTTACGCGTGAAAAACTATTCTATTACTGAACAATTTATTTATCGGTGTCATTTCTAAATTTTGATGAAACAGTGTTCAGTTTAATCTAAAGTGGATAGGTTAATTATAGCACATGTTACAGCAAGTAAGTAAGTAAATTATTTATTATAGTGACATGTGTAAATATGTACAGATTATAAACATATAATATATGATAAATATTAATACACCCGGCCCAATAGACCTAAAAGTCACCTCAAATAATATTAAATAATTATAAAACACTCATATCACGTTCTTGGAAATAACAAATTATTCATGAAATTATCTTTTTGTTGAAGAAAGTTACTTTTAAAAATATATATATTAAACTATTTGTAAACAGAATTGCATCTTTTGGAATATGCCTGTACGATGTATTTGGCTAGTTTTCGAGTATGACTAATACTTAACAATTTAAGCTTTTCATTATTGTCCATAGATATAAAGGAAATAGTTATCAAAAGTTCACCAAACACATGTTCTCGTATACCAGAAAAGAATGTACAGTCTAATAAAAAATGAGTTTCAGTTTCGGTCACGTCTTCAGTGCAAAATCTACATAGTCTTTCTGTTGGTCTTTCACCAATATATCGTCCGGTTTCTATCCTCAGAGGTAATATTCCACATCTGAATTGTGCTAAATGTGAGCGTTCGACTTTGGTTAAATTGATTTATACATATTGTTCCTGATTAAAGGCATATTTGAAAGTTATATAAGTACGAAGTTTTGTCACATGTTGTATATTATCATTCCATAAGTTTGAATAAAGGCGCTGAAAGTTCATTTCTACAGTGTTCAAATTAATAGCAGTATTTGATTCAAAATAATGTTCTAAATTAAGTTTACAGAAAATGTCCTTCAATTCGCTACACCAATTGTCGGTACAACGGTTATAGTCTGCATTAAAAGCGAGCTTCGTTATGCGATCATCTTCAAACTTGAGTAGTCTGTTCCAATACCTCACCATGTTTGTCAATCTTCGAAACTGGCTTGGGATCCATCCAACATCCCCATGTAGGACGAGAGTAGGCGCAAAACGGTGAACGCCAAGAGAATAACGGATTGTACGGTTTTGTATATTATCTATTGTTTGAAATTTCTGTATCCCCAGACACTTGAGGAATAATCTAAGATAGGAACTACACACGAGTAATACAGTTTTTCGTAGGCATGATATCCAAAGTCTTTATTGTTGTTTTGGATATAATCTTCCCTAGTGCTCTTCCACCGCCTTTCGACAAATTTTCCGCATTGGTAATGAAATTTCCATTATGACCGAATGTAGCCCCTAAATATTTGTAATTTCAAACCTTCTCCAATTTGTTTTTTCCAACTGCAAATTCAAAATTAGTTTCTTTGGATCTTGGTTTCCTGAAGTGAATGCATTTAGATTTATCCGTATTGATTAACACCCTCCAACGTTTACACCACTGTGAAGTATATTCAACATACACTGAAGATCCTCAGCCGACTTTGCAACTAACGCTATATCATCCGCATACAATAATAATGATGACTTCGTTTCAAGTAAGTCTACCCCAAGATTCAGGTCATTAATTTCTTGGACAAGATCGTTTATAAATATGGAGAAGAGTGTCGGCGACAAATTATCTCCCTGTTTCACACCAGTTTTACAGCAAAACCACGATGTTAGTTTACCGTTTATACGAACGCATGACTCAGAACTTTGGTATATACTTTTGACAGATTTGTATAACTTTCCATCAACTTTATTCAGCAAAAGTTTGTATAACATCATATCTCTGTCAATAAAATCAAAACATTTCTTAAGATCGATGAATGCAACAAATACCGAATTATTATTCCTAATAACACTATTTAAAGTAAATATATGGTCTTCACATGATCTATTTTTTCTAAACCCATATTGTTCGTCTTCAAGAATATCATTATTTTCAAGATGACTGACGAGTCGTTGATTAATAAAAGAACTATACAATTTGCTAGAGCACGACAAAAGACTTATTCCTCTGTAATTCATCGGTACTCGGAGATCTGATGACGGGCCCTTGGACATATGATGGCTTTTCTCCAAATGGTTGGAATTATACTGGTGTCAAATATTAGTTGGAAGAGTTGTTGTAATGTTTTTATGATTATCGGGAACTTTAAAACGCCGTTTGAAATTTGGTCGGGTCCACTTGCTGATTTTGATTTTGCATGCATTACAATATTAGTTATTTCATCAATTGTAATATTAGAGTTTAAATCCTCATTCGGCATAAACAACGGATCTTCCATTTGAGATTCCAATAATTGTTTATGAACTTTTGACTGATTATAATGGTCGTTTTTAAATTTGGTGTTGTTTTTCCCGTTGTAAAGATTTTCAAAATAGATACGCCATTTGTTAAATACGTCCTGCTCGTTTGTTAAGACTTCAACAGATTCATCAACGACTTCCATCGGAATATCCTTTACATTTCTAGGACCAAGCTTTCGGATCTTTTCCAAAAATTCATGAGGATTCGTTGTTACCATTGTTTCAATATCGACTGCCATAGCTTTCTTGTATGTTCGTCCCGTTCGTCTAAGATTTTTATCAAAAACATCTCTCGATTGACTGTTCTCGCGTCTGAGAGCTGATTTAACACTTCGATTTCCGTCACACTGTACAAAATCCTTTTCTTTGTGTCGCATATCATTCCATAAATTCGGTAAGTTATCATTCCAATACGGTTTCAAGTTTTTAAGTCGTTTGTTAGCTCTATCATATCCAGTTTTCGGTATTTTTTCGTTCATTTCGGTTTAAATTACAGTGCACAAATTGTCATAAATTTTGTCTACATTATCTTGGGTTTCCCTACATCGTTCAATCGTCTCAATTACTTCAAATAGTGCGGACCTTCTAATATCGCTTGTCATGAAATCTAAAGGTTGAAACGCGGTTGACAGTTAGTTTGATCTTTAATCCTATACAATAGTCCATGATGCGTAACATTAAATTCACACATAATAACCAAATGATCAGGTAATTTTGATTTGTCACCAATTAGTTCTAGAAACCTATTGTCGTTAACAATTGACTGAATAGTTAACACCTTGAAGTAATTCAAATATTCATAAATATCCTGCGGGACGCATATATAGCACTACAAACCAGTAAAAGTCTGAAATGGCCTATATTTGTACTCGACTGAACTGATTTATTCTCGACCAGTCTGAATTGGTCTGAAATTTACTTGATATTACTCGACTGTAGTCTGAACCATACTAAACAGTCTGAACTTGTACTCGACCTTTACTCGACCAGTACTTAACCATTTTATTCGAGTCTTGACCAAGTCTGAACCATGCTCGACCTAGTCTGAACCATACTCGACCTAGTCTGAACCATACTCGACCAAGTCTTAACCAACCTAGACCTATTTTTTGTATCTATCTATATTATTTTTTCATTAATTTAGGAACTGTTATTCATATATATATATATATATTTTAAAAGGGATAAAAAATTAAAGAAATGAATAAAATTTAAGAAAAATATGGTTTTATTATTATTATTATTATATTATTATTATTTTATTATTATTATTATATTAAATTTTTGGTTTTACAAAACAAAGGTGTCAATTTTAACATTTATTAAGTTGCTATATATAAAATGTATATCACATTTAAAATTAAAATAAATAAAGGTGATCAAATTTCTGGTTGGATTAAAAAAATATCATGTAAGA